ATTTCCGTGTCACACGGTAATCTAATCCAAATAATCAGTATTCTGGGTGACTCCATAATTCACCAAAGCCCTGTTCATATCCAACCGTGAAAACTGCTCATAAATTGTCGGCTTATCGAAAAAAGCCGCTAAAGAGATAAATGACAATCTCTGCGTATATTATCCAATTCATATTCTCTTTCAATTCTTTTAGAACCATAAACCTCATTTTGTTAACCGGATTACTAGTAATGCATCATTATTTATCGGTTATTTTTCTTTGGACTTTATATAAAAGTTATTATAACATGCTTCAATATTTGTGTTTGTATGCTATTAAAATAGAACTCCATATTAATGTTTTTTTGTTGTAAGATCTATAATAATCAGTAATTAAAAAAAATATCCCACTATAATAATAAATATAATATAATAAAAATAGTCAATTGTGAATCAGTAAACAGTTAATGTTCATTCATGTAAACTTTTGTAGTATTAAAAATATGCTTATATCGTTTAGCTATAAAATATATCCCATATATAAATATACCATAATTTCAAGAAATTGGTTCTTAGGTAAAATAAAAAAAGTATTCACGGAATCAAATTCAAAGGGCATGAAGCTAAATGTTCTTGTTACATTTTAAGAGGTTCTGTATGTAATAGGTAATTAGCAAACCACCAACTTCTCATCTTCTGGTCACTCCGTATAGCGTGACATATCTCAATAATTCAACTTTTGCTCTAATCTGGTAATTAGGTCCAGAATCTACAGTGGCATTACTCATTAGTCAGACAGATCAAACATTATTACAATTTAATTAATACGTTAAAAATAATACTTATATTGTTTATCACCAGTTACTTCATATCATTGTACGGTAATATTACACGAGGTACTTACACGTTCTCTTGCGGGGAAGTCCCCCGGTGTACCGCTCCCGGTACGATCTCACTATATAATTTTTTTAATGAACCAGGAAAAAATATGGCAAATACAAATATTTACTTTATATGGGAATCAAATCTGAACCACCGACATGTTATGCAATGCCATTGAATTACTTGTACTCGGAAGTACATACTTAGATTTAGGTATACTATCACTGAGCCATATCAGTTGTCGGACTAATTTATATATCTTTAACATACGCATATTCGGTTAAACGACTACGTGTTCAAACTTTCTGGATTATAAATAATTGAAGCTTGTAACTTTAACAAAGTTGGGTTATTGATATTATCTGGATTGTGTTTTTGTTCATAGCGTTTACGATATTGCATATTTAGTTTTAGCCTAAAGTTATCTTTATTTTAATCATTTATGTTCTAAATTTTATTTTTATTACATTTACTCGTCACTTTACTTCGACTCTCACTAAATAAATAAGCCAACACGAGAAAGGTAGGCTAACCTTTGAGAGCATGTTATAAATTGTTTTTAGAATTTTCGAATGGTTATAACCTTTTTTTTAAATAATAATTATTATTTAGGTGTTCCTCGCGATTCACAATGACTGAAAATATACATGTTATAGTAATAGATAATAGATATACTCGTACATTAATACACATACAAAATTCGTTTGCAAAAACTGGTGCTACACTTCGAAAAAAAATCATGTAGGTACTCCAGGGCTGACTCGCTATACCTACTTATTCGGCTAGACCCTTTTAGCTCAACAGTACCAGTAGTTTCCTATTTAAATAGCTATAACATACTCACAGAGGATAATAAAGGTTTAATTTTGCTTTTTATACAAATGAAAATGAGAAATATGCCTTTCCTGAAAATCTAGATTATAATTATATCTACTACTATGTATAACTATATATATATATAAAATTCAACTTGCCTTTGCTTCACTTGGGTGCATCTCTGGGTGCCTCACATACATATATATTACTACACGTCATTATCAATTTGTGTGCTGAATTTAAAACTTTCGCTTGTATAATATTAGTAGTATTAATATACGCCACTTGTATTTCTAAAATTAGATATAGCTTTTAAGTCTTACAAAAGAAGAAAATTCGAAAAAAATGGAAGTATTGAGTACGTGCCTTTAATACCATCTTCTCCCTTAGTTTCTAACTTGCAGTAGTTACTATATAGAGCTATTATAATCTCCTTACAGTTTAGTATATTTTTCTCCCTAATTGTCTTTTTTGTTGTGCCTTCTTTCTAACAAACTTTTTCTTTTCTTAGTTTCACTTAGTAGTAAGCGTAAGAAGTAGGCACAAGTTTTTCTTTTAGTTTGCCATCTTAGTTATCATTACTTGTATTTTCTATGTGCATAGAATATGTACATATGAGTATATAGTCTATACATATAATAAAACTGTAACTAAGTCGAATCTGTACATTAAATATTTTGTGGAAAATTTTATTGTAATAAACATTATTATCGATACAGAGACCGAATATATAGTTTTTAGAATTTTTGTCTGTCTGTCTGTCTATCTGTCTGTATGTCTGTCTATCTGTCTGTCACACATCACAGAAAAACCACTGGAGGGATTTTGATGAAATTTTGTATGGTCGTAGCTGGTTATACGGGTTAACATATAGGATACTTTTTACAGCGGGAAAATGTCTCATTCTCATCTGAACGCGGGCGTTTTAACGTCCCACTTCTGGGCACTAGTCTCCCCTCAATACGAGGGGGACCAGGTCATAGTTCACCACGCTGGCCAAGTGCGTGTTGGGGGACTTCACATGTCTGTCGAAAATTAAGTAAGTTTTTTAACTTCTATTCATTATCTAATTACAGTGTAATATAAATTTAAATACTTTACTTTTGATTTTATTTAAAATACACTTCAACTTAATGTTGTATTTAGAAGTATAAGTACATGATTTACATAATTTTATCTGTTGAAGTATAACTTTTGGCCTCGGCTTAAAACTTAGTAAAGGAACATTATGTCGTGATCACCACTTAAACAAATAAATTCGCGATTTCGCTACTTTGTTTATTTCTAGTCAGATATCCTTAATAAAAGTTTACATAATACTCATAATTTAACTTTTACAGAATTCTGCGAAAAATAAATATAAATAGATTTATTTATATAACGAAAGGTAGCACTAAAAATTTATTTTTTAATTATTCCCATTTACATTTATTTAGGAGTAAAGTGGGAACAACGAGTGAGAACAACAAATAAGAACAACCAAAAATGAAGCAAAGTTAAAAGAAAAGCTTAAGCTAATTTAATTCACATAATTACTAAATCCAGATAATTTGTAAAAGGAATGCTACTAACTTCATCATGTCGCTTTCAGCTAACTTTATCATGTCACTTTTTGGCTGTCGGTGTGCGCGCACATCGTAAAAATTTTACTCTTATATTTTTTTCCAAACGTGCCAAAAAAAGTGTAACATCAAAAAGCTTACTAAAAATCGGTATCGTCATTATCGAATAAGTTTTCTAAAGCACAGACAACAAATAGCTATTAACTCTAAAACGTATTGACTACAGTTTAAAAACAAACAGTATATTCTAACAAAGGACATAATAGCTTATTTATTACCCGACTGCACCAGAAGGAGGGTTATGTTTTAATTTATTTATTTATGCGGAGATAGAAGTAAATAACAAATGAGATATATCTTGTAAAGCCAGACACTGTTTAAACTTACAACTTTAATAGTTCCAAAGCAGCTGTCGACAACTGAATGCTCATAATTCACGAAATAGTTCCAATACAAACAAGTTGTGACTGTGACATGTTGAATCGAATAACTTGGATCTTGTTAGGAAAATATGAATAAAGTTTATGCTAATTCTGGAGGTGATGAAGTTATTTTCATAGTAATAAACTGTGAATTTCCATTATATTTTTCTAGCTTTGTAATTTTTTATTACAATTTACGCTTGAATAGGTGGATTGTGTGATTTGAAGTTTTATGGAGAATAGTGGCTGTGGTTTTACTCAGACGTATTGCATCCCTTCAGTAATTTAGTGAACTGAATTAAATTTAAATCTTTGTTTTTGAGTTGAGGTATTATGTCTTTTAAGACATTTTTGGTACTTAAATCCATGGGAAAAAATCCTAAACCGTAAAAAAGGATCTCCAAAGGGAATAGATTATAGAGGAATAATTTTGACTAAGGGAGGCGTATTTACATAACTTAAGCAAATCTGCCTCAATAAATGTCATGTCCGTCCGTCTTAATGTATCAACGCATATGGTGTATCACAATGGGGACTGTCCCGTCCCATAAGGAATCTGCGTCGAACTGTCTCTCTTGCCGTTACTTCGACTCATTCAGTTGACCCAAAAACAAATGGAACGTCAATGGTAGAAATAATGCTTTTGATTGATGTTATTAAGGGAGCCAAAAATTTTACCTGGACTTTTAGCACGATGGCGTAAACTCAGTGTACAAATCGAACAAAGAAATCAAGTTATTTTTTAAGCACTATTGAATTTGAAAGATGTAGGCGGATTTCCTTCGGTTTGGTTGTACACTTTCTTATAGGGCATTCAGCTTACCATTAACTTTGCCAAATAAATTCGATTATTAGAAATCCATGTATGTCAGTTATTTTAACATAGAAGATGTCTGAGAAGAAAAAATAGCGTTTTAAGTTTATTATCTTACTTGATAATCTTATAACATGAACAAATTAGCCACATAACTATGCGATCTTAATATAATTACTTCAACCATGAACGAGTGGCTAATTCGTTCATGACTTCAACTAATATATTACATCATCAATGTGTCTAGAATATTAACAAAAGAATATAAAGTAACCTTTTTTTTAAATTTAGTATACATACGAGTATATAACGAATCAAATTATTGTTACATATGAAATACTAACAGAACCCGCGGCTTCGCTCGCTATTTAAAAAATATATTTATTGTTATTTTTTTAAAAGAAAAAAAAAATGTTTCACTTCAAAAATAATAAAAAAACTCATTTTATATTAGAATTTAAAAACTCAACCTTCCACTGGTCATGATGTTCTCCTAGCCGATTCCGGCCACGGCGGCCAATCTCAATGAGATTAGCCAACTGCGCAGGAGATATTATAGTGCTCAAGTGTACGCGCAGGCACAAGTGCACTCTCTATTCCTATCACTCTCATACTCCGGTGGGAGGTGAGAGTTAAGGCGCAGGACCGACGGCTTTACGTGCTCTCCGAGGCACTGGGGTGAAACACCACCAACTTCCCAACACCGGGCTGTTACTGATGCTAACCACTACACCACCGAGGCAGTTCCACTGGTCATAATGAGAAGAGGTTTGTATGTTATTGCTTAAAGCGATATAATAAATTTTTGTACAAGTCATAGACTTTTACGAGAAAAATTCTAACAGAGCTAACATTAAGGTGTGAAGTTACTACTGGCATACTTTTATGTGTCATGTAGAAAATAATTCCTAGACTTTATGGGGCATTCTACGTTATTCTTCTATATAATATTAAAACTATTCGAATAAGTATATATCTACCTGGAAATAACATTCATTATTTAGGTTTTTACTTCCTAAGGGCTTTTGGATAAATAGGGGGAAACTTTCAAATACGACTATAATAAATGTGAAAATATATGTGTTATTGGTAGTTTACTGCCTCGGTGTTGTAGTGGCTAGCATGTACGCCTGCACACCTGGAGGTCCTGGGTTCGAGTCCCGGGTCGGGCAAAGTTTAGTTATTGAGTCTTTCTGTATATTAAGCCTCAATAACAGCCCGGGTTTGGAAAGTACACAAGTTTCACCCCCGTGCCTCGGAGAACATGTAAAGCCGTCGGACCTTCCCCCTTACTGTCACTGGTCGTGTCGAGTGGTCGTCCCACCAGAGTATGAGAGTGACAAGAATAGAGAGTTCACTTGTGTCTGCGCGTACACTTGTGCACTATAATATCTCCTGCGCAGTTGGCTTGTCTCAATGAGATTGGCCGCCGTGGCCGGAATCGGTCAGGAGAACATCATCATCATTAGTAGTTTAAATTTTCATGCAATTAAAGAAGGTCAATAGAAAATCAAAATGAAGACAGTAATGAATTAAATAGCTTTATAATTAAAATAAATACTTAAAAAATCCACCGTGGTTTTCTGCTTGTACTGCTTTATACCATCTGTAGGCATACAGGCAGTTATGTGGGTCTTACCGATAAGAAAAACCAATAATACCCGCTTAAACACAACAAATCTTCTTCCTTCTTAATGGCAGGTCTGCCGATACAGATCACAACAACCATGAGGTTGTTCTAACGGTCCACTCTGCCGTCAGAGAAGTACCAGGAGCAACCAGCACGGTATACCGCCCATCGAAGTGGGCCACCTCTCAGTGCGTTTCTTGGCTTCGCGCCCGACTGGGTTGCCAGAAGAAGAGCTCCCCCTCCCCCCTACGACAACATTGTGGCACGTTGTAGGGTGGGGGACTACTTTACATCCTTATTTAATGCTGTATTAACCACATGGTGTTCCTATGGACGAGAAAACATAAAATACCTTTGTTTTTTATATACAATTTTCATGTCAGATCTATTAATATTAATTAACCCTAATAGTAACAAATCTATTTCAGATTTTAGTATACAAGTATTATATGTTCAGAATATATTACGATGTATGTAATTAATAATTTAGTTTGGTTTCACTCAATTTTATATACCTACCCCTTTACCTTATCACTTTTTGCGTTCAGTTCCAATGTTTTGATATATATTATTGGCCATATCGTGGGCACTCTAAATTAATAATTAAGAAGAGCAATTCAAGGTGTGAGTCGAAGTATTGTAACTTGTTGTAAATAAAAAAAAGATCTCGGTGATTGATGTTTGCTTTCCAGTCGTATTTCCCTTTATTTTATTACTAGCCTTTAAAATATCTTGTGTTGGAGAGAAATTTTCAACTGGTTTTATTGCTGTGTACTTACTTTACTTTTAACGTAATTAAAACGTTTTATTTTACTTTCAGATTTCTCAACGAGTCTTTAAATAAAGGATGTGATTTTGTCTTCTCATCGTTTGTTTGCTATTTTTATCTACGAGTAAAAATATAAAAATAAATATTATATAAATATAAAACAAAGTCGGGTTTGTTCCTATACTTATAACTCAAGTACTGCTGGACTGATTTTGATGATCTTTGATTTGTTGGATTTGTTTTATCCCGTATCGTTGTGTTGTTGTATAATAATAACAGCTAAAATTAAATAAATAATATTCCATATTCAATTATAAAGCTAATTAAAATTATATAAAAATGTTTAAAGTTAAAAGTTAAATTATTGTAAGGTAATTTAGTGCCATTTTTCAATTTTGAATTCATTTTGTTAATTGTGGGTAGGCTGTCTGTAACAACTATATAATACCTTTGAGACATCTAACACCTCAGTCTCTCCCGTGACCATGATTGCTATAAAGCATTCGAAACGTCGGGAACCAAAAATCAAAATAAATTCGCGAAAAAAAAAAACCGAAAAGATAGTTTTATTTAAAATGTCAAGTATTCGCGTAAATCTAAGAAAGATTTTTTTTTAATTTACATGGCTGACGCTGGCTAATAATTATTTATATCTATTTAAAACGTACCTAGGGACGAAACCGAGCGATGCGAGGGTAAACCGCTAGTAAAACATATATATAACAAAGTCGAATTAGTTATACCATTTATAACTCAAGAACGGCTGGACCGATATTTATGATCTTTGATTTGTTGGGTTTGTCTCTGCCCCGAATAGCAGAATAACTATAAAACCTCGAAAAAAAACGAAAAAACACGAAAAAAATACACGGCTGAGGTTGGCTAATAACTATTTATATCTCTTTAAAACGGATGTACTTAGGGACGCGCTCAAGCGAAGCGAGGGTAAGTAGCTAGTAATTCATAAAAAAGGCAACTTTAGCATAGGTAATATTACAGTCTTCTAAGAAGAAAATTACAATCTAAATTTACAACCTATATTTACGTCTATTTATCAAGTGATGGAAATTATTCTACGCATACAAGAATAAGAAAAAGGTAATATCGATTACTTATTACAAAAAAAATATTTGTTATCAAATCAAATTTATTCAAATTAAATTAAAGACAACAAGTTAATAAAAATAACAAGAAAAACGCTTAGTATCTAAAGTATCTGGTTTACACTTTTATGGTATTTTTAACATTTTGTGTTGTGTTTGTGAAAATGGTTGGATAAATTAGTAGAATCCTTCAAATATCCTACTTATATTATCAATTTGAAAGTTTGTGAGGATCTATGGATGCCTGGATGTACATATATAGATAGATGTATGAATGTTTGTTACTCTTTCATGCAAAAACTACTGAATGGATTTTAATGAAACTTTACAATAATATAGCTCATACATCAGAATACACATAGACTACTTTTTATTCCAGAAAAATGTACTGTTCCCGTGGGATAGATTTATCTGTATTTTAGAATAAATTCTGATAATCGCTTCTAATAAAAATTTCTTTTATCTTTCTTTTATTCTCATGAAAAGTTAAAAAAAAACACAATATATCCCGAATTATAAGCATATAGTATTGTCTATTTTAAATAAAAACATATAATATACATATATATATGAAGCAACAAGAAGCAAAATCTAAAGTCTTATTATCACGGTATAAATTTACCTTACGTTATATTATTCCATAAGGGGAAGACAGATCCCCCGATTTAAGAGCATCATGTGAAGCCATTGATCAAACTTGCAAAATAATATTAAATTATTTCGCAAGTTCAATCAATGGTATGCAATGTATTGCATTGATCTTTGTAATTTTTGCAACACATATTGTGAGTAGAATTTAATTAATTAATTTTCTAAAAATATTGGTTTGCCTTTATAGCTTTTATTATACTGCTGGACACAAGCCAACCCCTAAAGAGAGGGCCCACCAAGATGAACAATTACGGGTTGGCGAATTTCATATTATGTCTTTCGAAAACTAATAAATACATCTATTATGTACTTTAGACAAGCAAGTTTTCCCACGATGCTATCTTGCACCTTAAGGCAAATGGGCAAATGGTAATCACATTAAAAACTATTCGCATTTGAAAACCTCGAAGATTCGAGGTTCGAGACCCAGGTTTTGAATTTACACAAACACACTAAACTTGGTTTCCAAAACGACGACGTTACTGCGAACAAGTAGCACATACATATACAAAATCAAACAAAAAAATGTATTACGCTTGATTTAATAAACTTTGTTATACCTAAGTAAGAATTTGAACTGAATTAATTAACCTTTAACTAAAACGAAATTGCTTTCTTGTTACCTCAAGTTAATTCTCGTACAGCAATTTGCATGTTGTCTCGAGGTCAGATATGCAAAACTTAGATTACAACTTGACGGTGTGAACCTAAATCCTGGGAGAGATCGTTTATCAGATCTCCTTGTTACGAAAATTGAATCACTGATGCGGATTAGTACACTACTGCGTAGCTATATTTTATTATTAGTAGATAAGAAATATTATGTGTATAGAAAAAAAAGAAAGCAAGCAAGTTAACAGTTTTTCTGAAAGAAACATCTAATAAAATTGTTTTAAAATTACTCATAAATTATTTATATTGCTAATAAGACTTTGGTAATAATGTATTAAGTATGACTTAATTGTAGTTTATATTCTTGCTAATTATATTAATTTTAAAAATGCTAACAATTTTAAACATGAAAGTTTGTTAAAGTAGACACTTTTGAAGTAAAACACGTTTTTGGGTTGCGTTTCTTTAGAATATTTTAACAATTATAATTTTTTGGCTAGAATATTTACTTATTTTATAGCTATTTACAAATTAAAACGGCTACCAAGTCTAAAAAATAATTTCATCTATATATACATACATATAATAAAATTGTAACCAAGCCGAATCTGTACATTAAATATTTTTTGGAAAATCTTAGTGAAATAATAATTATTATCGATAAAGAACCCCCAATCTATAGTTTTAGAATTTTTGTCTGTCTGTCTGTTACCGCATCACAGAAAAACTACTGGAGGAATTTTGATAAAATTTCGTATCGCGATATCCGGTTATCCGGGTCAACATATAGGATACTTTTTACCGCAGAAAAATGTCTCATTTCTGAGAAAAATTACAAAAACTGCAATGTAAGATTATACTACTATGTGAAACCTAAGAATTTGGTTTTTGGTCATCTGAACGCGGGCGGAGCCGCGGGCAATACTAGTGATCTATATGTTTCATCTTTTTAAGTTGAATTATAAGTTTGGAATTTCGCTTTATTGCCTCCATTGTTACACGAAAACTGGTTTCATATTTATTCATTGTACTTTAACCAAGAATATTGTGTATATAGAAATAGTGATATAAATTATACTAGTTTTTATATCTATACATATAATAAAATTCTAACTGATTCAAATCTGTACATTAAGTATTTTTTGGAAAATCTTAATGAAGTAGTAATTATTATCGATACAGAAGCCAAATCTATACTTTTTAGAATTTTTGTCTGTCTGTTTGGGAACGCATTACGAGAAAACCACTAGACAGATTTTGATGAAATTTGGTATGATGATAGCTGGTTATCCGGGTCAACATTCGGAAAATATCTCATCTCTGAGAAATCTATACTAAACGTACGTTACGTATAATATAAATAAATATTTAACATAAATTTGTTTTAAATTAAAGTATTCTTTGAAGGATTTTTAGCTCGAATGTGAATCGTAGGTTAACAAACAGTAAGCAATTATTCACTGTATATTTGTTTTGTACATATAAACGAGTATATTTAAAACTTTAAAAAGAAAGAAATATTTTATATTGAATCAGAAATAAATATTCATTTGAGTTATAACCATACTGTTTTTGTTGCATCAACTGTTAGCGTTGTAAACAGATCGAATTATACAAAGAG